CACGTAGTTCTCGTGCCATGGTTTCCAGCTCCATCAGGCCATTCAAGGATTTCTCTACACTGTTTATTCTAGTTAGCCATTTGTGTAGTCTTTTTTCAGGGTTTTTAGCTTCTTTGCGATGGGTTCGAACATTCTCCTTCAGCTTGGAGATGTTTGTTATTACCAATTGTCTGAAGCCTTCTTGTCTCAACTCATCAAAGTCATTCTCTGTCCAGCTTTGTTCCATTGCTGGCGAGGAGCCGCATTCCTTTGGAGGAGAAGAGGCGCTCTGATTTTTAGAATTTTCAGTTTTTCTGCTCTGGTTTCTCCCCATCTTTGTGGTTTTATCTACCTTTGGTATTTGATGATGGTGATATAAATATGGGGTTTTGGTGTAGATGTCCTGTTCGTTAGTTTTCCTTCTGACAGTCAGGACCCTCAGCTGCAGGTCTGTTTGGGTTTGATGGAGGTCCACTCCAGACCCTGTTTGCCTGGGTATCACCAGTGGAGGCTGCAGCACAGCAAATATTGCAGAATGGCAAATGTTGCTGCCTGATCCTTCCTCTGGAAGCTTCATGTCAGAGGGGCACCCAGCTGTCTGAGGTGTCAGTCCACCCCTACTGGGAGGTATCTCCCAGTTAGGCTACTCGGTGGTCAAGGACCCACTTGAGGAGGCAGTCTGTCCGTTCTCAGATCTCAAACTCTGTGCTGGGAGAACCACTACTCTTCAAAGCTGTCAGACAGGGATGTTTAAGTCTGCAGAAGTTTCTGCTGCCTTTTGTTCAGCTATGTGCTGCCCCCAGAGGTGGAGTGTACATAGGCAGGCTGGCCTCCTTGAGCTGCGGTGGGCTCCAGTCAGTTCAAACTTCCTGGCTGCTTTGTTTACCTACTTAAGCCTCAGCAATGGCGGCCGCTCCTCCCCCAGACTCGCTGCTGTCTTACAGTTCAATCTCAGACTGCTGTGCTTAGCAGTGAGGGAGGCTCCATGGGTGTGGGATCCTCTGAGCCAGACACAGGATATAATCTCCTGGTGTCCCATTTGCTAAGACCGTTGGAAAAGTGCAGTATTGGGGTGGAGGTGTCCCGAATTTCCAGGTATCATCTGTCACAGCTTCCTTTTGCTAGGAAAGGGAATTCCCCAACCCCTTGTGCTTCCCGGGTGAGGCGATGCGCTGCCCTACTTTGGCTCATTCTTCCTGGGCTACACCCGCTGTCGGACAAGCCCCAGTGAGATGAACCTGGTACCTCAGTTGGAAATGCAGAAATCACCCATATTCTGTGTCGCTTATGCTGGGAGCTGTAGACTAGAGCTGTTCCTATTTGGCTGTCTTGGAACCTCCCCCTCTGTAACACATTTTCTTTATCCTGTCTACTGTTGATGGACATTTAGGTTGATTCCGTGTCTGCTGCAGTAAAAGTACTTGTGAATGTCTTTATAATAGAATGAGTTACCATCCTTTGGGTATATACCCAGTTATGGGATTGCTAGGTTGAATGGTAATTCTGCTTTGAGTTCTTTGAGAAACCTCCAAACTGCTTTCCATAGTGGCTGGACTAATACACACTTCCATCAGCAGTGTATAAGCATTCCCTTTTCTTTGCAACTTCATCAGCATCTATTATATTTTGACTTTGTATTAATAGCCATTGTGACTAGTGTGAGACAGTACCTTATTGTGGCTTTGATTTGCATTTCTCTAAAGATTAGTGATATTGGGCATTTTTTCATATGCTTGTTGGCCACTTCTTTTAAGAGTGTCTGCGTATGTCCTTTGCCAGTGTTTTTTTTTTTGTTAGGTGGAGTCTTGCTGTGTTGCCTGAGCTGGAGTGCAGTGGTGTAATCTTGACTCACTGCAGCCACCGCTCCCCAGGCTCAAGTGATTCTCCTGCCTCAGTAACTGAGTAACTGAGACTACAGGCACACATGACCGCACCGTCCTAATTTTTTTTTTGTATTTTTAGTAGAGATGAGGTTTCACCTCATCTCTGTTGGTCAGGCTGGTCTCAAACTCCTGATCTTAGGTGATCTACTCGCCTAGGTCTCCCAAGGTGGGATTACAGTCATCAGCCACTGTGTTCAGCCTTTGCCAACTTTTTAAGGAGGTTATTTGTTTTTTGCTTATAAATTTGTTTTAAGTGCTTATAAATGTTGGGTATTAGATTTTGTCAGATGCATAGTTTGCTAAATTTTTCTCCTGTTGTGTAGGGTGTCTGTTTACTCTGTTGATAGTTTCTTTTGCTGTGCCAGAGCTCTTTAGTGTAATTAGGTCCCATTTATCAATTTTTGGTTTTGTTGTAATTGCTTTTGAAGTTTTCGTCGTGAACTCTTCACCAGTTTGTATGTCCAGAATGGTATTGCCTAGGGTTTTTTTTTTTTTTTGGAGATTTTTGTATATGGTGTAAGAAAGGGGTCCAGTTTCAATCTTCTGCATATGGCTAGCCAATTATTCTGCCACCATTTAGTGAATAGAAAGTTTTTTCCCCATTGCTTGGTTTTTGCAACTTTGCCTAATAGCTGATAGTTGTTGGTGTATGACATCATTTCTGGGCTCTCTATTCTGTTCCATTGATCTATGTGTCTATTTTTGAAACAGGACCATACTGTTTTGGTTACTGTAGACTTGTAGCATAGTTAGAAGTCAGATAATGTGATGCCTCCAGCTTTGTTCATTTTGCTTAGGATTGCCTTTGCTTTCTGGGATCTTGTTTTGGTTCCCTATGAATTTTAGAATAGTTTTTTTTTTTTTTTTTGGAAAAAAAATCTGTGAAGAATGTCAATGGTAGTTTAATAGGAATGTCATTGACTCTGTAAATTGCTTTGGGCATTATGACCATTTAAAAAATATTGATTCTTCCTACCCATGATCGTAGAATGTTTTTCCATTTATTTGTGCCATCTCTGATTCCTTTGAGCAGTGTTTTGTAGTTCTCATTGTAAAGATCTTTCACCTCCTTAGTTAACTGTATTCCTTGGTATTTTATTCTTTTTGTGGCATTTGTGAATGAAATTGTGTTCTTCATTTGGTTCTTGACTTGGATGTTGGTGTATAGGATTGCTACTGATTTTTATACATTGATTTCGTATCCTGAGACTGTGTGAAATTGTTTATCAGATTAAGGAGATTTTGGGAAGAGACTATGGGGTTTTCTACATATATAATCATATCATCTGCAAATAGGAATAGTTTGACTTCTTCTCTTCCTGTTTGGATGCCTTTGATTTCTTTCTCTTGCCTGATAGCTCTGGCTAGAACTTCCAGTACTAAGTTGAATAGGAGTGATGAGAGAATACATCCTTGTCTTGTGCTGGTTTTCAAAGGGAATGCTTCTGACTTTTGCTCATTCAGTGTGATCTTGGCTGTGGGTTTTTTATAGATGGCCCTTATTATTTTGAAGTAGGTATGTTCTTTCAATGTCTTGTTTGTTGAGGGTGTTTTCACATGAAGCAGTGTTGAATTTTATTGAATACCTTTTCTGCATCTATTGAGATGATCATATGATTTTTGGTTCTGGTTCTGTTTATGTGATGAATCACATTTATTGATTTGTGTACGTTGAACCAACCTTGCATCCCAGGGATAAAGCCTGCTTGATCATGGTAGATTAGCCCTTTGATGTGCTGCTGGATCAGTTTGCTAGTATTTTGCTGAGGATCTTCGGATTCTGTCCTTGATGGACCCTGACTGGTACATTTACTAAAATACAGCTTGGTGTTGACCATCCTGTTATCTTTCCAGGAACATAATGTGCTTGTACAGTTTATAGATTCAAATCTTATGTTGTTTCTATGACTTTTTCATGATTGACATTTTAAATATTTATCATTCCCTTAATTTCCATTCTCTCAGTATCTCCAAATTTGTGTATGTTGAATTTCCTTTCCCTTCCATACCTATCATTTTCTCTTTGATTGTTAACCATTTCACTTTAATTAAAAAATACTTTAAATCATGTTTTCTGTGTATCTGCATTTTTTCATGACTTCTTGTGGGCTTAATTGCCAGAATGTCTTTATTTTTCTTTCTCTTTTTTCGTGTGCTTACAAACTTATTTTTAACTAATTTTGTTGTGTCACCATGTCTTTCTTGATCTTGAATAATTCTCTTTTGAAGTTTTACTTTATCTGGGAATTTGTTTTACAAAATGTTTTATATTTATAATTTATATTTGATTACACTTTTATTGGTTCCGTGGCAATATTAATATAAATATTCTTCATCTTATTCTGGCTCTTTTTTAATTGTTACACATCCTCAGGTGAGTTAAATTTCCCCTCAAACCAAGATGCTCTACTTAATTTCCTTATAAAGCAGTATTGAGTGTATGTGTCTTCTATTAACTTTTATTTCATTTTACTCAACAGGACAAAGCAAATTCATGTATACTTATGAGACGGTATATTTCAGTAGTCCTGATAGAATGAATAGTTGCACTTTCTAGGTATGCCAATAACTTTTTGAACTACTGATATTTTCCAGTTTTGTCTGGGCTTGCAGGCACAAAATTTTCTTAAAAGCTTACCACACTCCAAATTTACCTTTTGCTGAACTTGTCATTTCTTTCTCATATTGTGATTAGGGATACAGTTTACATTTTTGTTTTCTATTCTCTTTTGGAATGACTTCGCATGATAAACAGGTCTGTATTTATACTGTGTTTAATACTAAAGATTTGTTGGAATTTATAAACTGAGAGCTTTATGAAGACCAAGGTTTGTGTAGTGACTACACTCAGACTCTGGAATGAGTGCTAAACATTATTTTAAGCTCAATTTGATATGCATTATTATTATTCTTCTTATTATTATTTTAGATGGAATTTCGCTGTTGTTGCCCAGGCTAGAGTGCAATGGTATGATCTCGGCTCACCGCAACCTCTGCCTCCCAGATTCAAGTGATTCTCCTGCCTCAGCCTTTGGAGTAGCTGGGATTACAAGCATGCGCCACCACGCCTGGCTAATTTTGTAATTTTAGTAGAGACGGGGTTTCTCCATGTTGGTCAGGCTGGTCTGGAACTCCTAACCTCAGCTAATCCACCCACCTCAGCCTCCCAAACTGCTAGGTGAGCCAGTGTGCCCGGCCTATGTAAAAAAAAAAAAACAAATAAAAACTTTATAAAAGTTTATCCCAGATAGGCGTGATCCAAGGAACAATCTCTGTTCTGATCTATTGTTTATATCTCCTTGTGTTGTCTCAGTTATTCTTTTATTATCATAATATTTTGCTCTGTGATACTTGCACTAATTGTTGTTTTCTCATTATAGCGGGCAGCTAAATTCCCTGTAAAAGAAATAGGTTTTATGGATTCCTTGGCCATTGTGTTTTCTCAGTAGCCCAAGTTCTGTTTGTCTTGATTCTTTTTTCTCTCACTACTGGTTGCATTTTGTGTTCTTTACCATGATTTTCTTTGTTTGCTACAGTTAGGGCCTGCACGGGCTACATCAGTAGGAAGATTGATTAAGTTCTTCCTGGTGGAAAGGATTCCTTCCTGCTTGGTGTATAAATTGAGTATGTGATCCCTCAATTTGTAGCGAGAAGATAACATCTCTAACATCATTGACTTCTGCATATCTAACAGAAGCTCTAAGAAGAATGGAAGAGATGTGAGTATTTAATTATTTTCTGCTCAGTATTATATAACCTCTTCCAAGTATCCATTATACTTTAAAAATAATCATTTCAGTAATAATTATTAATACAAAGGATGACTCTAGAGATTGGATTTTTAAACTCTTTTAGCAGCAGATTTAGAGATGAATGGGAGTTTCTGTGTCACTGTATTAAACAGACAGGCAGTCAGCCTCATTCATTTGTTAGTAGGGGGAAACAAAATCCAAGGGCTGGGGTTTTCTCTCTTGTATTAATGGAATGTGGATGGACTCTGGGGGATGTTCCACAAAGGAAGGATATAAAATATAGTGCAACAAAGAAAGCCTAAGGAAAAATTCAGTAAACAGATTCATTGTTGCCTGGAAGCAATAATGACACTTCTAGGAAACTGCAGTCCTTGGGCTTTAAAACATCTGGAAGAGTTACAAAGGTATTACGTTGAGAGGTAATTGAAAAGGCTATTTTAGAAAGAAGTCATTTTAATGGGTTTTTTAAGATACCTGACACACAATGTAGGTTTAATAAATAGTACATAAAATGTTACCTTTAGGGAAAAATTGCATTTTAGATCTCCATTTTCCCTGCCACAGAACAGAATGTGGAATGAAGTCAAGAGAGAGAAGGGTTTATATGGCAGTCCCAGCAGTACGTTTAACATGATCCAGGGTTATTAATAGTAAATTTGTTCTATTTTGGGGGAAATCAAAACAGTCCTCTCACAGATCATTTTCAGACTTTTACCAATATCTGTTTCAACTCTTTTTAAAGGGTGTATGCACTGGCATATAAATGACTATGGAAAAGGAGGAAAAAATGGAGGTTTAAAATAGTAGATGTTAGGATTAGACTTCAGTGGCTTATTAGATTATTGACACCTAGAAGACTTTGTAGATAAAATTATTTCCATACATGAAATCCCACTCTTTTGTAGAACAGAACACATCTGGAAGAACAATCTGTTACCTCTGGACAAGCCCAGCTACAGGATCCTTGGGACCGAACACAAATGAAAATGCAGAATCCCTTGTTCAAAAATTACTGAAAGTTTCAAGATGGCAGCAGCAGAACATTAAACCAAGTGGGGGATTCTTATAGGTGCAGGGCACTGTTTGACTATACATGTCTCCCACCCATGAAGCTGGCCCTGCCTCCGGCTGCGCTCCTCACCTTCCTTCCTATTCTACTACTGATGTCTGCCATTCTGTCTTTTACACTTAAACCCTTTCCCTGGTAAGCTTCAATTGCCCCTCAGTTATCAGTCACTGTAATCTCAGTGAATGTGAGTCTCATGGAAGCTCGCATCTGAGAGCAGGTTTGATGTATGGTAGGATAGAGATAAATCAGGGTTGGGAGAAAGATGAAGGATGGCAGGCTACAGGAGGCTGACAGGGTATGATACGGGGATCTTGAGTACCTTATCAGGAAAATGCCTTTATTCAGAGTAGGATTCTTGGAATGACCTAGTAGAAGTGTGCTGAAGAAGAAAAGCTTTTATGTTTTGCTCTTATGTAGATTTTGTGTTGTGGTGGACCTTTTTAGATAGAGTAGATGGTGGTGGGCTAAGCTGCTGATGTAGGTAAGTTTGGACGTCTCTATGAATGTGCTGAGGACTTCTAAGCTGGAGGTATTAAGGATGAAAGAAACCACTCCTCTAGCCTGCAAATGCTAGGGTCCTCTTTTATGCCTTAACAGATTCATTAGCAGTTTACTCATGCTCATGTCTAGCAACTCCAAAGATGGTCCTGGGAAAAGTTTTCACCCTGACTTACAGTATACCTAACCATTACCTAGAAGCTGAGGTTGGATATTTTTAATGTGGGAAAATAAGAAGGAATCTGAGCTTTCATAGTAAAACATCTGCTACCCATAAACCTGTGTGGTATACAAATCATGTTGCTTTCATCTATTAATATATAGAAGGAAAGTGTATTAGTTACACGAATTAGTGTTGTTATTGTAATGCTGTGTAATAAACAAAACATCTGTGTAGTATACAACAGTAAGCATTTATTCAGCTTATACTCTGGAGTTCCCCTCATCTAGTCTGGTCATGGCAGGGCTTGCTCATGTATCTGTCAGCTAGGCAGCTCTGCTGTTCTTGGCTGGGCTTGCTTCTATGACTGTGTGCCAGCAGACTGTTGGTTGATCTAGTCATTTTTGCAAAATTGGATGACTTGGTTTCACTCCATGTGTCTTATATCCTCCAGTAGGTCAAACTGGACATGTTTTCATGACAATGGCAGTGGGCAATAGGTAGGCAGAGACATATAAATAAAATTTCAGGCTTCTGCTTGCATCACGTCTGATAACATTGGCTTGAGCAAGTTGCAAAACCATCCAAGAACAGGAGAGCTTTCCAAATTCAAAAGGTAAGGAAGTGGACCCTGCCTTTTTAGGGGTCAGAACTGCAAAGGCATGTGGCAAAAGATATGGGTAAAGGGAGGAAGGAAGGATTGGAGTCATTTATGTGATCCATTTGCTATAGTCTGTCAAAAGCTCTGCTAAGACTTGATGTTTAGATTACAAGGATATGCTAAGTTTTTGTTCCTTTATATCATTAAATGAAGCTGAATCACCAGAAAAATCTTACACCTATATATCAGTTTTCAATGTATTGTCTTTCAGCTCCAACTACCATTCTGCGCACTGCTTTGTGATACTGGAGCTGAACCTGGTAAAGATTTTTTCTCCAGCTGGCTTGATGCTAAGCTTTATCAACAGAGGGTGCTAGAGGGACATTGTTGAGGGGATGATGGCAGGAGGGTGCTTCCCTTCCAGGTTCCAGTCCTCATTCCTTGTTATTCTTTGTGAAAGTCAGTAGATTAGTGTGCAGATGGCCTAGTGGAGCTGACCATCAAGGCCAACTCCTCCCTCTCACCTAGGGCCTGTTTTACTGGCAGCACTGGGCATACCCTTAGGGAGCTGTCTTCCTGCCTGGCTGGACCACTTTTATAGTTCAGATCAGATCTGTTGCCTCTGATGTTTCTTCCCCTCTGACGGGAAGTGGTAGCCCTACCCTCTTAAAAATCCTTGGTTCTTCATTGCCTGTACCCCTTCAGCCTAATAATTCTTTTTCTGTAAGTGCTATTTCTGAATCCCTTAGAGCAGGGGTTGGTAAACTATAACTAGTGGACAAAATAAGGGGATATCGTTCTATACTTATCAAACTAGCTAAATATTCAGACTTATGACAACACTTAATTATGGGAAGGTTGTGGGGAAGCAAATATCCTAATAAAATGTTAGAAGGAGTATACTATCTTTTGGGAGGTCAATATAAAATATGTAACATGTAATTATATATACGATATTCAATAAAACATTCAAAATGTGCATATTCTTCTTAGCTCAGCAATTAAAAAAATAATTAAAAGGATATGTAAAGACTGATGTAGATTGGGGGCAAGATGGCTAACTAGATGCAACTAGAAGGAACATCTGTCTCTGAGGGACTGTAACATTAAGACTGGCACACTCCTGACAGATCTTCAGAGGAAAGACATTGACAGTGGACGGAGGGAACACACAGATGCTAGGCTGAATAAAGAAGAATCTGGGAGCCCTGCATGGGGCTACTGGGACTAATTCCTGGCATTCAGTGACTACCGGGAAAGGAGTGAGTTGAGCAACCTATTTGCCTGCTCAGGACAATTGAGTTGTCAGGGAGAGCTTTATAGAGAAGTGGTAGAGTCAGAACTTCAGCTGGCGTGAAGACCAGAGGGTTTGCTGCAGGAGCATCTGTAGTGGAGCATAGCCAGGGGCGCCCACTTCCCTAGGCTTGACTTGCTTCTCTAGGAGACATTAGTGCTGGGGGAACTGTAAGACCTGAACTCTGCAGGATGATCTTGCCCATGAGATTGGGCCAGTACAATCTGAGTACCCCTTGGTATACTGGCCTCCCCTGGGGCCCCAGCCTGGCTGTGCCTGCTTGCAGTGTAGCCTTGGGTACCCAAAGGGTACCTCCTGGGCACCTTCATCATAGCTCCTGTGCTGGCAGACCATGCCTGACCACAGAAAGCTCCAGCAGAGTAGCCACCATGGACATGCACCCGTCCACTCACACCTCCCACTGCAGCCTCTTCATGCTGCTTTGCCTGCATGCACTTACCCACATCCACCCCTACATTGCTTTGTTGGCATGTGTATGTGTGGGCAAACCTTACATCCCCTTCCTTACCAGTGTGTGTGTGTGGGCACACACCCTGCCATGCCACTGGTGCTGGTGTGAGTGCAGCCCTCCCCATGACCCCATTGAACTGCCATTGCTGTGGGAGTTTTGATGAGTACAGAGCCTGCCAACCCCACTACCACTAGCATCACACCCCTGCCCTACACTGCACCTGGGTGAAACTAGGCACAGAGAACAGCAGACCTGCCCCTACTCTGAGCTGCCACTGCTGCCCATGTGAATGTGCACAGATGGTGCACACAATCCTGTGCCCATTAGTGACCCATCCTCATGCTAACACCACCACCAGTGTGAATGCATGTGCAGACATCAGTGGGGGCCCCCCATACCCCTGCATTGTGCTGCCTGTGCGGCTGCGGTGAACACTCATACAGAAGCTGGCAATCCAGCACCTGCTAGCACCCCACTGTAGCCAATGGGCATGAACTCAGCTGTGCTGCTGCTGCTGCTGCTTCTGGCATGCGCAAATGAGGATATATCTCACTGCTACCATTCTATGAAGTGCTTTAGCTGCAACACTCATCAGAGTGTTGTGGCCAGTGGTCTGTGAGCACCTTGGCCCCTCCAGTACAGCAAGTTCCTAACCTTGAAGAGCCAGGGAACAAAGCTGGGCCAGATACCAGTTCCCCAGTCGAAGAGTTCCGAGCTGAACCTTGGCCCCCTAAAGTCTTCCAGAAACAAAGCCAGTCAGCTAAACCCACCTTATACCACAGTCAAACCCCCAAGGTTATAAAATAGAATAAAATAAAAACAAAAACCCATCAAGGAATCTGCTGGCAAGATAGCTCAATGGGAACAGCTCCGGTCTGCAGCTCCCAGCAAGATTGATGCAGAAGGCAGGTGATTTCTGCATTTCCAACTGAGGTAGCCAGTTCATCTCACTGGGACTGGTTGGACAGTGGGTGCAGCCCACGGATGGCGAGCTGAAGCAGGGTGGGGCATTGCCTCACCCGGGAAGCGCAAGGGGTCGGGGAATTCTCTGCCCTACCCAAGGGAAGCCGTGAAGGACTGTGCTCGGAGGAACAGCGCACTGTGGCTCAGATACTGCGCTTTTCCCATGTCTTCACAACCCGTAGACCAGGAGATTCCCTCCAGTGCCTACGCCACTAGGGTCCTAGGTTGCAAACACAGAACTGGGTGGCCATTTGGGCAAACACTGAACTAGCTGCAGAATTTTTTTCCCCATACCCCAGTGGTGCCTGGAACGCCAGGGAGACAGAACTGTTCACTCCTCTGGAAAGGGGGCTGAAATCAGGGAGCCAAGTGGTCTGGCTCGTTGGGCCCCACCCCAAGGGAGCCCAGCAAGCTGAGATCCAATGGCTTGACATTCTTGCTGACAGCATGGAAGTCTGAGGTCGGACTGGGTCACTCTAGCTTGGTGTGGGGGAGGGGCATCCACCATTGCTGAGGCTTGAGTAGGCAGTTTTACCCTCACAGTGTAAACAAAGCCTCCAGGAAGTTCAGACTGCGAGAAGCCCACTGCAGCTCAGCAAGGCTGCTGTGGCCAGACTACCTCTCTAGATTCCTCCTCTGGGCAGAGCATCTCTGAAAAAAAGGCAGCAACCCCAGTCAGGGGCTTATAGATAAAACCCCCATCTCCCTGGGACACAGCACCTGGGGGAAGGGGTAATGTGGGCACAGCTTCAGCATACTTAAACACCCTGCTTGATGGCTCTGAAGACAGCAATAGATCTCCCAGCACAGTGTTCAAGCTCTGCTAAGGGTCAGACTGCCTCCTCCAGTGGGTCCCTGACCCCTGTTTATCCTGACTGGGAGACACCTCCCAGTAGGCGCTGACAGACATCTCATACAGGAGAGCTCTGGCTGGCATCTGGTCGATGCTCCTCTGGGATGAAGCTTCCAGAGGAAGAAACAGACAGCAATGTTTGCTGTTCTGCAGCCTCCACTGGTGATACCCAGGCAAACAGGGTCTGGAGTGGACCTCCAGCAAACACCAGCAGATCTGCAGCAGAGCGGCCTGACTGTTAGAAGGAAAACTAACAAACAGAAAGGGATAGCATCAACATCAGCAAAAAGGATGTCCACTCAGAGACCCCATCCAAAGGTCGCCAACATCAAAGACCAAAGGTAGATAAATCCATGAAGATGGGGAGAAACCAGCGCAAAAAGGCTGAAAATTCCAAAAACCAGAAGGCCTCTTCTCCTCCAAAGGATCACAACTCCTCGCCAGCAAGGGAACAAAACTGGATGGAGAATGAGTTTGACAAATTGACAGAAGTAGGCTTCAGAAGGTGGGGAATAACAAACTCCTCCAAGCTAAAGGGGCATGTTCTAACCCAATGCAAAAAAGGTTAGAGGAATTGCTAACTAGAATAACCAGTTTAGAGAAGAACATAAATGACATGATGGAGCTGAAAAACACAGCATGTGTACTTCGTGAAGCATACACAAGTATCAATAGCTGAATTGAGCAACCAGAAGAAAGGATATCAGATATTGAAGGTCAACTTAATGAAATAAAGCAAGAAGACAAGATTAGAGAAAAAAGAATGAAAAGGAACGAACAAAGCCTCCAAGAAATATGGGACTATGTGAAAAGACCAAATCTACATTTGATTGGTGTACCTGAGAGTGACAGGGAGAATGGAACCAAGTTGGAAAACACTCTTCAGGATATTATCCAGAAGAACTTCCCCAACCTAGCAAGGCAGGCCAACATTCAAATTCAGGAAATACAGAAAATACCACAAAGATACTGCTTGAGAAGAGCAACCCCAAGACACATAATTGTCAGATTCACTAAGATTGAAATGATGGAAAAATGTTAAGGGCAGCCAGAGAGAAAGGTCAGGTTATCTACAAAGGGAAGCAGATCAGACTAACAGCACAAACCCTAAGAGCCAGAAGAGAGTGGGGGCCAATATTCAACATTCTTAAAGAAAAGAATTTTCAACTCAGAATTTCATATCCAGCCAAACTAAGTTTCATAAGCAAAGGAGAAATAAAATCCTTCACAGACAAGCAAATGCTGGGAGATTTTGTCACCACCAGACCTGCCTTACAAGAGCTCCTGAAGGAAGTGCTACGTACGGAAAGGAACAACCAGTACTAGCCACGGCAAAAAACATACCAAATTGTAAAGACCATCAACACTATGAAGAAACTGCATTAACTAATGGACAAAATAACCAGCTATCATCATAATGACAGGATCAAACTCACACATAACAATATTAACCTTAAATGTAAATGGGCTAAATGCTCTAATTAAAAGACATAGACTAGCTAATTGGATAAAGAGTCAAGACCCATCTCATGTGCAAAGACACATACAGGCTCAAATTAAAGGTATGGAGGAATATTTACCCAGAAAAAAAAAAAGCAAGGGATGCAATGCTAGTCTGATAAAACAGACTTTAAACCAACAAAGATGAAAACAGACTTTAAACCAACAAAGATGAAAAGAAGGGCATTACATAATGTTAAAGGGATCAATGCAACAAAAAGAGCTAACTATCCTAAATATGGTACAGGAGCATGAAGATTCATAAAGCAAGTTCTTAGAGACCTACAAAGAGACTTAGACTCCCACACAATAATAGTGGGAGTCTTTAACATGCCATTGTCAATATTAGACAGATTAACAAGACAGAACATTAACAAGGATATTCAGGATTTGAACTCAGCTCTGGACCAAGCAGACCTAATAGACATCTACAGAACTCTCTACCCCAAATCAACAGAATATAGATTCTTCTCAGCACCTCATCGCACTTATTCTAAAACTGACCACATAATTGGAAGTAAAACACTCCTCAGCAAATTGCAAAACAACAGAAATCGTAACAGTCTCTCAAACCACAGTGCAATCAAATTAGAGCTTAGGATTAAGAAACTCACTCAAAACTGCACAACTACATGGAAACTGAACACCTGCTCCTGAATGACTACTGGATAAATAATGAAATGAAGACAGAAATAAAGATGTTCTTTGAAACCAATGAGAATAAAGACACAATGTACCAGAATCTTTGGGACACATTTAAAGCAGTGTGTAGAGGGAAATTTATAGCACTAAATGGTCACAAGAGAAAGCAAGAAAGATCTAAAATCGACACTGTAAAATAAAAAATTAAAAGAACCAGAGAAGCAAGGGCAAACACATTCAAAAGCTACCAGAAGACAAGAAATAAGTAAGATCAGAGGAGAACTGAAAGAGATAGGAAGACTAAAAACCCTTCAAAAAAATCAATGAATCCAGGAGCTGGTTTTTTGAAAAGATCAACAAAATAGATAAAATACTAGCCAGACTAATAAACAAGGAAAGAGGGAAGAATCAAATAGACACAATAAAAAAAGATAAAGGGAATACCACCACGGATCCCACAGAAATACAAACTACCATCAGAGAATACTATATACACCTCTATGCAAATAAACTAGAAAACCTAGAAGAAATGGATAAATTCCTGGACACATACATTCTGCCAAGACTAAACCAGGAAGAAGTTGAATCCCTGAATAAACCAATAACAAGTTCTGAAATTGAGGCAGTAATTAATAGCCTACCAACCAAGAAAAGTCCAGGACCAGATCA